AAAAATCACCTTTAATCACTTTTAATCACAAAAATCACCTTAATTACTTTAAAACATTTTTAATCGCAAAAAGCACTCTTAAATCACGTCAAATCATATGAAAAAATCAGTTATTATGATTTACACTAATTTTTTTATATGATTTAACGTGATTTAAGAGTGATTAAAAATGATTTAAGTTGATTAAAATTGATTAAAATTGATTTTTGTGATTGAAGGTGATTTTTCTGAGTTAAAATGATTAATTTGATTTAAAGTGGTTAATTTGATTTTTGACTGATTTAAATCAGCTTTTTCCCACTTGAAAATAATGGATTAAGAAATAATTACAGTTATTGAACGTAAATATACAATATTAAGAAAAACAGCCAGCCATTAGAGAACAAAAGACAGACAATTTAAGTAGATATAGGACAATATAATAATATGCGTAATTACTAGTAAAACTTTGTTTCTAGATTTCGGAAAATGATCATTTAGATGAAAATTATTGATTATAGCTATGAGCAACCTAATATTTAAAAAGCAGAAACGGCAGACAAAAAGCAGAATTGGTCTGCTAAAAGCAGACATGGTAGCAGCACTGATTTATTTCAAATATACCCAAGTATAAGACCAGCAAGAAAACCAGCAAAAAATTGCAATGCTGAACCGACTTTATCACCAATACCATCATGAAGTTTATTAACATCTTCAGTTAATCGTGTACTAAGTTGACCTGTTTTGTGAGTATCAAAATAAGAAATTTCTTTAGTAAGTATTGAACGAAGAAGTGTTTGACGAATAAGACGTGTCTGACGTTCACAAGCAACAGACCAGAAGGCAACTTGCAAATATCCTACGACTATTGTTCCACATCCCATAACTATAATTATGACAAAACAAATAATTAAAAATCTTGAAATAAATTTTCTTGAATAGATCACAAGAAAAGGGATATTAAACTTCTTTTTTTTTCTCTGTATACATCTACAGTATTTATTTAATCTCTTTAATCAAAGATCAATATTGTATTTTTTCCTGTCAGCATTGACATTTAATATGTAGATTAAATATGATATCTAACTACAAATTTGTTTTGTGATTATTTTTGGTCTATTCTGTTCAGTAAAAAATAGAACTATTTCACTTCTATATTAAAATATTTAGTGATATAAACAAAATATTAAGTTTCGTTTTATAATACAAAGAATCTTGTAATATAGTGTACATTCTGGAACTAAAATCGATGACAGATCTTTCGAGGAAATAATATCACTTACTAGTTAAATAGATAGATTGTTGACGAATAGTTCCCAGAATATCTGGCATTGTGATATTGAAACCTGATAAATTACATTTTCTATGTAATAATTTACATGAAATAAAATCGTATTTAAGAATGAAATAACATATAAACATACTTATATTCAGTAATGAAATTCTCAGGAGTTAAAACCACACCATCTGGACAAAATGAAGTTAAAATTGTATAGTTCCATGGAGCATTACATGGGCCAGCTGCTTGATCAGTGAATATATCGGTAATATTTCCGAATACAAGTAACACTAAAAAGATATTAATGAAATCATTTTTCTCATTTATATCAACGACATACTAAGTGGAAATGCGGCCCCATGTGCCAAAGCTAAATATCAGTAAATAGATTTAATAAATACAAAAGATTTATATGAGAAAAAACGATCGTACCAGCAATAGAACCAATTATCATATAAAGGACATCCATAACATTTGCAAAACGAAACTATAAATATTATATAATTGTTTCTTTCTTTTTTATTTTAAAATAAAAATAGATGACATACTAAACTTAAATAACCAACAAGCTGTTGGGGTTCTTTGTCTGCTTTTTTATCCTCATCGGATTTTGTAAAAATATCTTTCATTTTAACACTGAAATGAAATAAAATTATAAAATCAATGAATAGTTTTAAAAATATAAGATAAACCTAGATGAAGTTTTTGTTGGTGATTCAATAGCTGGTGAGTTTAATTCAATAGCATCGAAATCCTCATTTTGAAAATGTGGGTGTACTTGATGATTATGTAGACCATTAGATGTTTTTTCCATTATTGCACGATCTAGATAAACAAAAGACTAAGAGCTGTTTTTCAAAAACTGATGAGAAAGATATTGAGTTATAGGTGGGTTAGAAGTGCATGTTGTAGATGACTAAAAAAATATCGAGCAAAAGGTTGTTTTTGTTTTTGTTTTTTATTCTTATCGCGGCTAATATACATTTCTTTCTTTCTCTCTGTTTTCGTTGAGATCAACGATATCAATCTTTTAAGTCAACAGTTTTTCTTGTTTCCTTTCATAAAAAAAGATAACACTGAATATATCTACCGTACCTCACCATATCTAAAATCTCCTTTATCATCCAGTTTTCTCAAGTACTGTATTTCATCATCCCAGTGATAAAAGTGATGTCACATTGTCAACAGAAAGATAGCTGTTCGGATTCAAAAAGAAAAAAGAGAGAAAGTTATAAAAACAGGGCAATAAAGAGATAACATGCTTGTCGTTTAGTGTTATTGACGGCAGTTAAAAATCAAAAAATAAAAGTGATACTGTAATTTAGTAGTCGTTTACGATATTCAAATAGAAATCTCACGAAAGCTGCGTCGTCTTATAGGCTAATTAAAGACCTGTGAGAATTGTTTTCGAAGCGCTTAAACATATAAATAATTCACAAAAAATGAAACAGAATAGATAATATATTCTTAATCTATAATGATATTTAAATGTCATGCCAATAACATGCAGAATTTTGTTTATCTATTAGGATAAAGTCTTAACTATCACGGTTGCTAAGCATATTGATCGATATAAATTGCCATGAGATACAGTATTTGTTAATTACAGATGAACTTTGTACTATTTATTTTTTAATTTACAGAAAAACTAGCAAATAATTTTCGATTTAGATTAAATCAATCCGATAATTGATTAGGGATTAATCGGAAAACTCTAGATAATAGTTAACTAGCTTTATACTCTGAATGACTTACCGTCCAAGTAATTATAAAAAAATAAAATGAAATCCTATTTTTATTTATTGTTAAAGAATCTATTTTCTCCTTTCTGTCCTTAAACATTCTTTATTAGAAAAATTCATTTGATATTTATACTCAAAAACTAAAATATTCATCGTAACTCTCCTAAAAGAAGTTGAAATGAATTCGAACGATCTATTGCAATGAACCACTAAACTAGATTGTTTTTTCCATTTATTTAAAAAAACGTTATCTATATGAGCTTTTATGACTTATCAAATAGCAAACGTCATGTTCTTTTTCTACCTTATAGTTTGCCACAATCTTTCTGTTCTTGTAGTACGCACTCAAAGAACGTTTGTGTACGTGGAAAGTACTATCTGCAGTAAAATATTAAATTAAATATATATTCAAACACAAGCACGTTTCCGTAATGAGCATATATTTTTCCAGAAGTAAAATAGACTTTTATAATCTACTTGCTAATATTATCGTATTACAAGTACTAATAAATTATTTTTGCTATTTATAATTTTTACAAATGTTTTAATATGATACGATAGAAATATTTTTAATATTGACATTTATGGATTCTTTAACATACATAACAACTAGAAGTTGTTATACCTCACATTCTTAACATTCTTTTATTTATATCAATGAAAATATTGATTGAAATAAATATCTGGTATATTCTTTAGAATCAGTAGAGCTATAAATAATAATATAATCAACACTTACCTATATTTCTATCGTTGTATTTTATCTACAACAATAGCAATTAAATGTACATTGATAATCTGCACATAATCGCTGATATTTTGAAATTGATACATAATTTCTATAATAAATCATTTGTGTTTTTTTGAAAAACTTGAATATACTTAGCTATAGTACTTTTCTGTTATATTTCAAGTTATCATTTGTTGAATAAGTTTTCTTTTAATCATAAAATACACATAATTTAATCGTATTCATCGTTGAATTATTCCCGTATCATCTCTTATTGATCAATATTAGATCTAAAATAATTTTGTCGAACAATATGAAAACTTCTGCATTGAACTGTAGATTTAAAGCCTTTTTGATTCTGTAAATATTTATTTCTTTGTAAAAAAAAAATAGTTCTATATCAAAAACAATCATTCTCTTGTCTTATATTTTTATCTAGATAGGATCTATAAGTCACACAATATACTTATCACAGAAAATTAATAAGTAAATATAATGAGATCTCAAAACACACATTAGTAAATCCTAATTAATGTAAAGAAAAAAAAATGCTTAAAGCTACTTATAGCTATGAGAAAAATAAAACGCATTCTAGTGTTCTATATCAGTTTCATTGAGCATCACAAGGATTTATCAGACGATAATGCATTAATAGTATACCATTTCTATACCACCAAATAAATGCAGCCAATGTTGCAAAATGCCAGATTTGATGGCTTGAAAATAAAATATCAAAATATCCTAAATAAAAAATAAATCGATATATTATATTGAAAACTATTTCTAATGGAAAATAATACCTGGAAAAAATCTTTCAGGAATTTTTGTTAAATATGCCAATACACCAATACTTAAAAGCCCATAAAATATAATTAATTTCGGTAAAAAATATTGAACAAATTGATTTGACCAACCACCATGAAGATAATACCAATGTAAAGCTGGTAATATACCAAAAAGTGATATAACCATAAATAAAATTACATGAATATTTTGTGATAAATATCGTTTTACTCCATGTATATAATAAATAACAGTAATAAACATAATACCAATAATTATTGTTACATACCGCATTCTCCAATTTTCGTAACATTCAAATGTTAAATGAAGACCACATAAATAACAACCGAGAATACCAAATCCAATACCACATAGATCTACTTTAAGAAAATCATCACAATGTCTTGGTGATATACAATTGAAAAGATGAAAGACAACAGAACAAAGCATACATATCTATCGATGAAAATTTCATATCATTCTTAAACTAATAAAATAAATAGACTTACAATAATAGTAAAAGTATAGAATAATACGAAATAATAACTAGTTGATGATAACATATATGGTATAGCTTTACCTATATAAATATCATGTAAGAAAAAATAAATAAAAAGACCAGCACCAATTAAATGCGACCAAACATTCACCGATTCATTATTCAGATGAATTAAACTAAAGAAGATTTTAATTGAATATATATATTTATTTGAGGATTTTATTTACCTTGTTAAACAACCTTTAAAATTTAAACCATGTCGATAACCAGTTCGAATATATGGATTTGATTGAAGATATTCCGGTATCATATCAAATGAATATAAACGAAAAGTTTTATCGACATCTGTTATTTTAGATTTTTGTGAACACGATATATTATTTGGTTCACATAAGAGTGGATTTTTATCCATATCTTAGAGAATTCAATCTATAATAAATATAATTTTTATATAGTAGATCTGACATTTAAATATCACAACAATATTGACTTTATTTCTTTTATGATAATGCATGTATCAAAAGATAATCTCTTTAACCTTTTCAGGACGGGATTTTTTTCAACACAATTGTAATACTTAAATTTAGTTAGTCTTCATTTTACCGAACTTTATTTACTTTCTCTGTATGATTACCACACAAACAGAGTTCTCTGTATAGCTACCTCGAGCAGTAGAGGCTACAGCAAAAAAATAGAAAATGATAATTATGCATTTAGATATTCGAAGCGCTTTTTAAGCACTAGCCATTATAGTGACCACCCATCCCGAAAGGGTTAAAGACAGTTATTAGAAAAAAGAAAAACAATATATGATTTGTTTTGTACTTTTATTTGATCAACAATAACAAATAATTATTACAAAATAATTATTTATGATACTTCTGTTTCTTGTAATAACATATTCGGTATACCTTTGGAGATTGGAAATTTTCTACCTGTTTCTGGACATATAAGTTCACCTTCTTCAATTTCATATTCAAGTAAAACTTTATGCATTAATTTAAGAAATTCATCATCTTGTTGCATTGCATCCGACATTGTCTCTGGCAATGATTCATTCAAACCAAGCTATACAAAAAAAACATAGTTATCTTTCTTTTTTTGGAGCCCAATCACTTAACCGAAAATAACTTTGCCGAGAGATTGTTTTGACAACACAAATTTGAGGGTGTGAGTGCGGGTGAAGGGGTGGGTGAGAGTATGAAAGTCAGTGTGGGCGAGGGGATAGGTGAGTGGGTGCGGGGGTCAGTGTGTGTGTGCTCTGTTTCACATATTTCCACGCTCTCACTCTCAAACTTTTGTCGGCAAAACAATCTTTCGACAAAGTGATATGTCGGCAAAGTGTAGCGGATCCCTTTTTTTATATAAAACTTACATCTTTAACAGCTGATTGTAATGCACCATATTCAATACGTTGTAGAATACGAGCTACAAAATCACGATTATAATCCACTGAAACATTTTCCACCTTCACAGCTTTGATTTTCAATGGAAAACCTTTTGTTACACCTTTTAAAATATTTGATGTAAGCATATTATGTGTTATTAATTTCATTTTATATTTATCTAAAAAACGAATTGTGAGATTTTATATGTATATTATTATTATTAGTGTAAAATATAAAAAAAAGAGAAAAAAAAATGCATTCAAAATAAAAATTTATCATTACATTTGACATGATTTAAGCTTAGAAATGAATTGATCATTAATAATATATGTATCTTTGGACGGATTTGTTATACTATGAATTTGATCAGAAAGAAATTTTTGTATACATTCGGGTGTACAACTGACAAAAAGTATTGGTAAAGATTTAATACCAAATAAATTTTCACATATGATTATTTTACTAAAACCATTGGAAACGCGTAAGTTCGAACAAGAATCACAGAATTGAGCACTGAAAAATAACAAAATATATATTGAAATTTTCTATAAATACAAAATCATATACTTGGATAATAATAATTTTGATGAATCAGGAATTTTATGTAGGAAATCTTCCCATTGATACTTACTTAAATGAACAGTAAGTAATTCAAGTAATTTCTATATAAATTGAATTAAAAAAACACAAAAATATATATATGTAGTATTTACTTGAGGTTTCGTTGAATTTTCGTTTTTAGCGAATTGTGGTAAAAGCCATGTATTTTTTGCTGTAACTAATCGAAGATTAGTCATACCAATCATACTCGATGGAAAATAAGTTATTTCATTTCCATCACAAAGTAATTGTCGAAGATTTCTATTTTTATACAATCAATTTATAAATTCTTTTTTTTTCAATAAGAATATAAAATCTCTACTTTAAATTGGCTATTTCACTTGGAATTTCTGTTACACGATTGTATGATATATCCAAATGACGAAGATTAATTAAACCAAATAAACTATTTAAACAAAAAAATTAATAATAATAATTTATTTACTAATTTCTGTACCTTTCAGGTAAAGAACCACGTAGTTCACAAAACGACATATCGAGAAAAACAAGTGTTTCGAGATTATTCATTCCAGATGAGATTGATAAGATTGGATTATGACGTAAATAAAGATGTTCAAGTTTCATACATTCAAATAATTCTAATGGTACAGTCTTTAATATAGAAACAAGTCAATCATTTTCTATTTGAATTAAATTTCGCGAAAAAGATTTTACTTGTAAGCAATTATATGAAAGATCAAGAGCAACTAATGTTGTGAACATTAATGAAATATCCGGTAAATATTCAAGTGTAAAGGCACGTAGATCTAAATGTGTACCATTTTTAATTAAACTATCAAGAACAGCAATTTGAGCGCCTGTGTCACGTCTATCTTCAAATGAACCTGTATTATAAAAATAATAATTTTTAATAAAAAAGAAATATTTGTTCAATCTATTTTATCTTACTGTTATTTTCTTTTGGCGTATTCGGTGTTTTTTCTTCATTTTGTGCTTCATAGAGAAGAATTTCCGTGTGTGCACCTTCTTTTTGACGCCAACTTGGTAATGTTCTTATATTCATTCTGAATTGAGAACCTAAAATTTGTGACATATGCTGTCGAAGAACAAGAGCCATTTCAGCTACAATTTGATGCATTGGTATTCGATTTTGAAATGGTTCAATATCAGGTACTAATGTTTGTACATGAATCTTAAATAAGCCATTTATTATTTTGAAGAATTTTTATATTGATTGAACTTACTTTTCCACTTTCTCCTCGTTCTGCCCAAACACGTTCAGCAATCATTTCACATATTTGTTTATATGTATATTTCGATAGGAAAGCCTTTTCTACTGTAGTTTCTTCGTACGGATGAGAATCTGATGTTGTTGCATGAAGAATAAAATCATTAAAAGTAAATCGATTAACCATATTATATGCATCATCATCTGATATATTTGTATAATGTGATTTTATATCACAAAATGTACGTGTTCGTCTAGCTGGTAAACCTGGTGGTCCTTTATGTTTAGGTGTTCGAAGAAGTGTTCGTGCTTTCGTTGTTGTTGATACTGAACGACGTGAACCACTAAATTGTGAATATTCACGTGGTTTAAGTGGTGTAAATAGTTGTCTTGGTTTTTTTTCACGTATAAATCTTCCTTGTTCGTTTTCTTCGTCTTCATCATCATCATCGTCATCGTCATCATCCGCCGCTTCCTCTTTTTGTCCATCATCCTTTGTTGCTACAATTAATTGATCGTTACTTAAATTTTGTTCTTTTTGAGATTGATTATGTTCCTCATTCAATGGTGGTAAATAACGTGGTGAACGAGCATAACTTGACCGTCGTGATGATGGGATTGAACTAGTTGGTGAACTTGATACTGATGAAAGTGGTGATAAAGATTCTGCTCGTCCATTTACTGTTATCTCACTCAATAATAATGGACGAAGGCGAGGACGAAGGGGACGACGTAAAAGATTCATATCTAGAAATCATGTATATCATATATATATATATTTATTTATTTAGAAACGAGTTTTTTTTGTTCGAGTAACAAGAGATAAATTGCAAAGATTTTTTTAAAACTGAGTTTTCGCAAATAAATAAACCCCAGACAAGAATAACAAAGTTATATGCACAGTTTATAAATATTATTCTACTTTGTTCGAAATGAACTGACGACGTAATAAATAAAAAGAAAAGCACAAACAATAGCACCAATAATATAACACATTGCACGACGATCACCGCGTCCACTATGCATAACATCTCGAATATGATTAGAACTACGGCCAAGAAAACTACGTGCTGTTTGAAAATCAAGACCCTAAAATTCAAAATAATATTTAGTAATATTATTTTCTTTTTTTCAGTTTACCATTCCGTCAAGAAATCGACTATGTTCTTTTGTTTCATGTTCAATTTCAAATGCAATCTTAAATGAATAGAAGTAGAATACAAATATTTCAAAGAAATCTTCAATTAATAATTAACTAACATGTTTCATTCGAGAGACTTTATCAGCTAACTCTCTTGCCTGCCGATCGTTTTGACTTTCTAATGTATTCATTGAATATAAAATAAATTAAGGAAACAATCTAAAATTAAAATAAACTTACGATGTATATAAGAGATATCAATCTATATGTGTATGTATTAGTATCTGTTCAATGTCAGTTTTAGGCGCTCTTTCAAAAAAACAACCTTACGTTTTATTTTTATAAAATAACACAACAACAACAACAACAATGACGAAGTAAACACTTCGAATCTATCAAAGTTTTATATATAAAAAAAAAACAATATGAAAATCTCATTTCTCTTTTCTTTCTTTTTATTTCTTTGCGAAGCTAACAGAAATTAAATTTGTTGTCGAGATCTGAAAACCATTGAGTGCATCTATAAAATTCAAAAATAAAATAATTTAATTTGAACAAAAAAAGAAAAACTAACCTTTAGCAGAAGAAGCACCGATTTCATTATCAAAATCAATGAAAGCAATTCCTTCACGTCCAGGTACAAGGCGTACATCAAGATAACCGGAATATTGATGAAATAATTCTTCAAGTGCTTCTCGTGTTGTTTCATTGGGTAAATTTGTAACAAACAGTGTTGAATTCGATTGTACTTCAGTCATCATTGGAACTGCAGTACCAATCAATGTTGTTTGTGCAGCAATAACCGATTGAATTCGACGTGTACGATCACGTAATGGTAATTCTTGTAATTCAGCTTCAGCTACTGCAACAGCATTAGCAGCACGATTAACTTCTTCGGAATTCATCATAGCTAAGATAAAAATTAACAAAATATTATCAAAGATTATCTTTATGAAAATTTGTTTTTCTTACCGATATGTTGTTCATGAACAGTACGATCTGGTGGTGGTTGTGTTGGTGGTGGTGGTATACGAGGTTTCTCTTTACGTTGTTTAGGTTCTGGTTGACTTGTGGCAGCTAATGCAGCTGTTTTCTCAGCAATTTGATCTTTGGAATGTCTTATTGCATCTGAATCACGTTTTGCATATGATAAACGCATTGGTTTATCATAAAACATAATACCTTGTAATGAACGTAATGCAGCTGTTGAATTTTGTATATCATCAAATACAATAAATGCTTGTCCACGCATTTTAACACCTTTCATAGCAATAATTCCAACTACACGACCATAGGAAACAAACAGATTATAAAGTGATTTTCTTAATTGTTGTTTTTTGATTTTTCCATTTAAATTGTTAACATAAATCGTATGATTTGGTGGAATAGAATTACCTACAGGTGTTGCTATTGTCATAGCATTTTCAGTAGAATTCGACATCTAGAATAGAGAAACAAAACATGACCAGAGTTGTACATTTATATATTTTGTTTGTTGTTCATAACAATAATAAAACACAGAAAAAAAAAACAAACAAAAAGAAAAAAAGAAACTATTTTTTAGCAAATGTTATCATCATTGCTTTATCTGGTGTAACTTTAAATCCTTGCAAACCATCTTTAGCCATAGCTGCTTGATGTTCAAGATCAAATTCAACGAATGCAATTCCATCACGACCAGGAATGAGACGAACTTCACGAAATCCATTATATGCTTTAAATAATGTTGTTAACATGCTTTCATTTGCATCTTGAATATTTGATACGAATAAAATATTATTTGGCATTTCACCACCAAATATAGGTGGATGTAAAACTGGTCGATTTATCATAGGTGGTGGTGGAATCATCATTGGTGGCATACCTGGCATCATCGGTGGCATGCCAGTTGGTAAACCTGGAAATTGTGCAGCTATTTGTGCTTTTAATAAACGTTGTTGTTCTTTAGCAGCTAATTGTTGACGACGTTTTTCTTTTTTCGATATCGACGGTAAATCTGAATCACTACGACGTTTGGGTCGTTCAACAAAAGTATTTTTACGTTTAGATATTAAATCACTATCCATTTTAGCAAATTGTATACGTAATGGTTTATCATACAATGGAAATGATTGCATAGATGTTAATGCTTGTGCAGCACTATCTGGTTGATCAAATATGATGAATGCTTGACCACGCATACGTAAATTTTTTAATGCAACTATATCCAGTATTTTACCGAATTTAGAAAATATAGCATAAAGACATTTTTTTAATTCAGGAGTTTTTACACCTATAAAATAAGAAGAAAAAAACAATCAAAATTTAGAACTAAAAATTCTCTTAAAAATACTTACGTTCATTAAGATTGTTTACATAGATTGTATTTTGACCAGTAAATGTAGTGTTTAATTGTGG